ATGGGAGCATGACGTTTTTTGGGGCCAAGGAGGTAGTCTGACATGTCTGCCAACTAGTGGCAGGGAGTATGAATGAATTTTGACACTCAGTTGGACACACTCGGCCGTTTTAAACAGTACCGCAGCTTGTCGACTTAAGTCGACCGTGGCGCCTAGAGGGTTAATGGCACCTGTTTGAACTCGTCATCTGTATAAAAGACACCTGTCCACAGCCTCAAACAGTCAGACTCCAAACTCCACTATGGCCAAGACCAAAGAGCTGTCGAAGGACACCAGGAAAATAATTGTAGACCTGCACCAGACTGGGAAGAGTGAATCTACAATAGGGAATGTGATTTTTTTTTTCCCATTCTGTCTCTCACAGTTGAAGTGTACCTATGATGAAAATTACAGACCTCATTATTTTAAGTGGGAGAACTTGCACAATCGGTGGATGACTAAATACTTTTTTGCCCCACTGTACGTGTGAGGGGTTCCTGGATGTGGAGCACTTTGGGTGAGGGGTTCCTGAGGGGCAGAACAATGCTTTATAAATGTGACCATTAATGAAGCTTCTCTGCAAACTCAGGCCGACTGCGTTTGCTGCTGCAGTCCCCTCAACGGGCTTTTGGAGTGAGAACACTGCTAATGAAGCTGATTTTCAAGACTAAAATACAAATCAAGAGAAATGACAACTTTCCACCATGTTGCGCTTGAGGCATAATTAATCATTCCACATGGAGCGGTTTCAGATTTAGACTCATGAAAGGGAATAACATGCTTTAATACTGGATCTCACTGGGATCTTTCCCTCTCTGGCGTTGCCACAGTGATATCCAGTCTTAAAAGGCAACTATTAAAAACATTTTTTTTATATATAAAACACATTACAAACATGCGTTTCCCACCACATCAATGTATTTTTATGCTATGGATAATTAATAAATCAGTAAATAATTTTTAATATGAATGCCTCTGATTGGTCAGAACATTGATGACGTAGTTGTAGGGGTCGAAGCTCTCGCCTTAGTGTTTATGACTGTGCTTCTGCTGCAACACAAATAAGGCTGAGTTTACACGGAGACAATGTGGCAGTAAAACGGTATAGTTGGATGTCGGTTGCTACCAACCGTTCATACGAAGACTGTGTTCCAGGGGGGTGAAAACGTAAGTGTTCAAATCCAGCCTGCAGAGTGGGACAACTCAGATACGCTGCACAGCAGGGAGCTTTTTCACACCCGCGAGAGGGGAATAGGTGTGAAATCCCCCTCTGCTCTGACCCCCGCCTCCCTGCTGCTCCCGCACGTAAATTTGGACATGCGCAGTAGCGGAGAACAAACATCAACAATAATGGCGCCGCCCACACAAACTAGCTACGTGGGCTTCCAGCGCGGGACAGAGGATAATTCTACTCCTTCGTTCGTCCAAACGAGACCACGCGAAGCTCTAGGTTCAGTTCCCATGTTCACAGCGGCTGTTAAAATGCAGAATGATGTTGGTACTCTCTGAGGGTCTGGCACAGGAAGTGAGTATACTGCCGAGAGGGGGGCTGGGCACGGGGCTCGGGGTCGTGTGTCGTGTTGTAAAGTTTCTCTGCCCACTACTGGCCGGGCGCTAGAACTACATCGTTTTTCAACCTCATGTGAACGCTGAGAAATTTGCATTAGGAGCCAGGTCGTTTCTGTTAATAGCCTGGAAACGTCTGCGCAGCGTCTCAGTATAAACAGGGCCTAAGACTGTAGTGAAAAAAGAACAAACATTTCCTTAAAATGGGTGTATTTTGCATGCCCCCAGGATGCATCAAGGAAAGTTACCGAAAGAAGAGTGTAAACAACAGTCCCTACGATCTTTGACTTATTCAAACAAACTGAGAGCTGTCTTCTCTCCATGATGGCACCTGAAATTAGGTCTATCAAGCTCCAACTAAAACCAGTTTTACGAGTTTCAACCCAGTATTCAGCAGATAACACAACAACTGTCATTGAACCATGAATCCATGTTTCACTTTCTAACTATGTTTAGTAAAAGATATAGATATGACACATACCATCATGTTTTAGACTTTAGAACCACAGACAGACGTTCAGTATAAGACCATATATGTATGCATTTGATTGAAGACTGTCACCATTTCTCTCAAACTCAACATCTGGAGCTGGGACATAGAGTTGAGGCTTCTCTTTCGGTGTTGCGGGTATTGACGTGTTAGCTGGTGTTAGCATGTTAGCTAGTGTCCGTAAAAATAATCCATGTTGTCAAACCACCTCCAGACTTTTTGGTTATGTCCACTTTTACAGCTGGGATCTTTCATTTCATGGGAGTCACTTTTACGCTTCTTAACATTTCTCTGCACTGCGATGTCCCTAGCGCTACCTTCGCTAACACTTATTTACACTCACTCGGATGGCACCATCTAGCTCAAACTGACCGCATCCGCAAACCGGGTCGGACCCGGTCGGACCATAGATCCATGAGTCCAGCCCTAATGTTCGCAAATGTTGAGTTCTTGAAGATTGCTCCTCATCTGAACCGAGTCAGAGTCCTCAAAATCAGAATTACTGTCAAGTATATATGTATTGAAGACTCCTAATTGGTCGGCTTTTAGGGCTCATACTATATCTTTTTTAATTTTTTTATTTTTTTTATTTATTCAGCCATGGCATTATTACAATCATAATGAAAATAATAAGAACACAAGTAATTCAATTCAATTACATGTTGCTGAATAGGAACATGTTTCATGCCCCTTAACACATATTTAGTTAACAGAAATTAGAAATAAGATGGCTCGCATTTATTTGTTTATTATTATTATTTTTATTATTATTATTATTGCTGTTATTTATTTGTTCCTTTACACATATACATTTTTCACTTTGCTGTAGCTATGTGCTGTAGTTATTGTGGATTTACTTGTATTTACCTCTATTTTAGTAGGTATCTGGATTTACAAAGGCAAGATAAGAATAAACAGAGCAGGATCATACAGACCAATAAACCACATATGGTCAAGCTTTTAATGGCGAGTGTGACACAAACCATCACTGAGTAAAAGGAGTTTAAATTTGAAGCATTGTCCATTTGTACACAGTGTATGGCGGTCAGTGTTGGGTGTAACGCATTAGAAAGTAACATGTTACAATACCGATACAAATTTTTCCGGGAAAAAGTAAAGTAAGAAATTAACTATCGACAATTTATTAACAAAACAACGTTTCTATTTTGATCCGCCACAACTTTACTTTTTATTTGCCACGAGCAGCTGTGACCACGCATCTGCAGGTGCTGTCGCATTAGTCACAACTTGTGCTCAGTTCTCCTTCCACATGTATTTAAAGAAAGAGGCCGCTAGTGGTGGTGCTGCTCATTGCACACTGTCGCTGAGAATAAACTGAAGACGCAAAGTCCTTTAGCGCAGACGCTAATGTACTCGAGTATGAGATCAGGCTCGGAGTTAGAGGTGTGTTAGAGCCTGAGTGAGAGCTGTGTTCATGAAATACAACAACCCCATGTTACATGCTTTGTGGCCTTTTTGATAATAAAGAGCTGGAGAGAAATATCTGTTATGATCTTCACTGTAAGTAAAAGAATACTGCTGTTTCCCGTCCGAATGTATTACAATATATTCAAATATTTAATTATAATTCATACAGCTCCTCACAGCAGGAGCAGAACACTCCATTGATTTGAATGTAATTTCAAAACGTTCTACCGATAATTTTTTCTTGATAACAGAACTCTCAAACCAACAATGACCACTGCCCTTTGGCAACGCAATCTCTGTTTGTAATTCAGGTGTGTAAAATACTAACTTTACTCCGCAAGTACAACGAGCTTTCAGCGCCTGTCACTACTTCTGTCTTTGCAAAGAAGCTAGCGGAGCTAGCCACGCTCAATAAACAAATACCAATCAATCAATCAACACCTTTAAATGTTAATTGGAGAATACGTTATACATATACATCCTTAACACACATGCACAGAGGTTTTCAGAATTATTTGTTAACGTTTTCATGATAAAAATACTGTTTTAATGTGACACAAAGCGATCGCGAATAACCCGGAAATAACCATTAACATGAAACTAACATTTTAACACAAATTAGAAGAGGATCTGATGGATTTAGGTTCGGTATATAAATGGGTAACTCACCGCTGATGTTCAGAATTCTTTGTTCAGTTTTCATGTAGTTCCAGAGAGTTTTTGAACTAGCTAGCTTAGCTGTTACCTGCCTAGCATGTCACGGTGAAACCATTGGGAGCTAACTATTTTATTTGCAGTGATTAAATACATTTCAAATATTAAGGGCTGTCTAATATTTGTTCGAATATATATGTATATATTAGGGGTGGGCATAGATTAATTTTTTAATCCCACCACTTCTTTGAAAGGGAAATATTGAAACCAATCTCCAGATTTCATGACTGTAAACTGTAAAGAGTACTGTCTTGATCACTGAAGGTCTTTGAAAATAATACAATTCCATATGGCCGCGAACCAGTGCTAAAACATTAGCTTTAATCTGGATCAGGGAATTTATTTCTATCCCAAATTCATTTCAGACTAAAGATATTTCACATTGACTGTTTATAGTATTCCCTGATCTCAAATAACTCCCAAGCTACAGCTTTTTGAAGTCTTTATACAATAATTAACATTTTCCAAAATGGCCGCCACCTTGATGACGTCACACTATGCAAATTAGATGACGAAACAACTTCCATCCCAAAGTTTGGTTCAAACTGAAGATATTTCTAATTTACAGTATGCCTTTATCTCAAACCATTTTAAAGTTATAGCCTTTTGAAATCTTGAAATCAAAATTGTATATTTTCTTGAAAAAACTCTGGCGCCTAAAGGGTTAACAGTCTATAATGGTCAAATAATACAGTTATCTTCTGGTCATTCTGACATACCTTAAGCCATTCCAGGTTTATTTTCTCCCTCTGCTGGTTGAGGTCCTTGGTGAAGGCAGCCTTGAATCGCGCAATAAAGGCAGAATCATCATCTGAGATCTTCATCACATGCTGGAGGTGGCACAGGGCAGGTAGAACCACAGAGCAGGATACATACTTATTCCCACCAAGGAGCTCAGTGATGTACCTACACAGACAGACAGAAACATACCAAAAAATAAGTAATGACTGATTCATTTAACTCATTACACATTTTTTCTCACATTACATTTAAGGGCATGCATTTATTAAATATACAGTGACATTTAAAAGAACTTGTATACCAATTCATGAACATGCTATCTTTGTAGACCATACCTGCATGGCTCCAGCAGTTCCTCTAGCTTTGCCAACTTCTCATATTCAGCATTTGTTGGGAGGGCCAGATTTTGCTTCTGCTGAGACAGCACTGTGTGCAGTGCGTCTCTGTTGCGTGCAGTGCGTCTCTGTTGCGTGCAGTGCGTCTCTGTTGCCGTGTTGAAACATCTTGCACGAGTGGCTCCTGAACTTGTCCAAGGGAGGTTTGCTGGACATTCAGCTCGTCTGAGTTGGCCGGACTGTGTTTGAAATGTCCGACCACTTTACGGCACTTGGCCAGTGCGCCATCAAAACCACCTTCCTGAAGAGACATTACAATAGCTCTCTGTACAACATGCGCAACACAGGGCAAATGTTCGAATGGCAGTATCCTCCCTGCTGCCACCATATTAGGAGCACTGTCTCTTCCAATGGTGCTGATTTTGTCAGCTATCTTCCACTGATTAGCGACATCGAGAAACTGCCTTGCACACGCTTCTGCAAAATGACGCTCCTCTGTTTTCATCACACCTAACGGACAGACAAAGTAGATCAGAATAAGTTCACTACTAGTAGTAAACAACTACAAGCAAACATATGTGGTGGTAATTCGTGGTGTTGTGGTAATTAATTTAATCAATCAATCAAATAATGAAATGATGTAGGCCTAATTTAAAGTTACATAACGTAGCCTACCTAAAGCGAAGGAGTGAAGCTCCCAGCTGGCATCGATGAAGTGTACAGTAACGCCGAGGTAGTTATCGTTGTTGACAGAGGTCCAGTGGTCCCCAGTCAGCGCCACACAACTCGCCTCTAACATCTTCTTATCTTTTGCGGCTTTCTCTGTGGCGTGCTGGTCATGTATTCTCCTCATGATAGTTCGCCTCGCGGGTAGTTTGTAAGAAGAGTCACCTGTGGCCGTCTGGAGAACAAACTCGAGCCAATCATCTTCAACCACACTGATGGGCCGGCAGCTGGTGGCAATCCACTGAGCGAGGAGATTAGTTAGCTTTGCTGATAGAGCTGTGCTGACGGGCTTGCCTCGGTTGCACTCAAGCATAGTAGTTTGACGACGACTCTTCCCCGGCGCTACATCAGTGCTTGGCCCGGCATCTTCCTCCGCACTAGCTACGGGATGCTTTGCTTTTAGGTGGTACTTGAGACTGGAAGAACTCCTACAGTAAGCAAATTCCACTTTGCACAAGGTGCAAACAACCTTAGTTTTGTCGTAGTTTCCATTGGGAAGCTTCTTAAAAATAAATTTTCCCTGAAGCAAACCCGGTGGCGGCTTTGTAGCTGTATCCATGCTAGCACGTCACGTTTTTTTGTGGAAATTTCACAGTAAGCATGCATGTACACAGGTTTGAAGATTCCTTCGCGACCCCTACAATGCAATTCGGCAATCAGTAGCAGCACGTTAACGCGATAACAGCCCACCACTAGTATATATGTATATGTATATATATATACAGTTGGTAGGGCGCAGGGCTGGGACCTGGGAGGCCAGGGTTCGAATCCCACCGGGAGCACATTAACTCCAACATCCAGTCTGGGTCCTTGGCAAGACCCTTTATGCTACTGCCTAACTCATAACCATGAAGGTACAAATAAGCAATGAGATGCCGGCTCAGACGTCGCCCGGCCAAACAAGGTCTGCGTCAGGTGCTGGGGAACCAGAGCACGTTGATGAAAAGTGGGCTACTGGAACAAGGCGAAAGTGGGCGAGATACGATAACAGGGCTCTGTTGGAATGCTACTACTTGAGTAACCCTGGCCAAAGAGGTTACATGCAGAGCTAGAAGAGTGGTTACAGCGGATCCCTGGAACAACCTCGGACACCTCGGTCCAGGAATGTGCAGTGCTAGGAACAGCTAAGATACTGCGCAGAACCCTCAAGCTCCCAGGCCTCTGGTAGAGGACCCAAGCCCGCGGAGGGCGAAAGGTGAGAATTATTATTATTATTTTTTTTAAATATATATTTATTTAATATTTTTTTAATTATAGTCGAATTTCGAAGTCAAAGCCCAGCACTGTAGAGGCTAGGGGACGCAGGCTGTTCGCTGAGTTCTGTGAGTGGAGGAGAGCGAGCGGCCCGCTAAGCCTCTACTCAGCACTTTTTACGGTCTGAATTCATACAGAAGCTGAATCAATGAGCGCCAGTTTTCAATTAAATTACGTATTAAAATACAACTTGTATGTAGTAATAAGCATTTTTATGAACTAATTAGAAAATAAATCGGGTATAGCTTCTTCAGAACAGTTCTGCTCAAAGTCGAGCATAATAACAGTAACACAAAAGTAAAGTAAACTTAATTTGGATAGTTTCCTTCTTTCCTTTTTAACAGAAAGGGAAGAAGGAACTAGTAACGAGAAAAGTAACTTCCGCAACACTGATGGCGGTGCTGGTGCATTTCGTGGACAGGGAGCCTCCCTTGAGCTGCTGGGCATTGAGATGTGGGTAACATTTTGTATATTCACTTAAATGCGTTGGCCAGATGGTAAACTAAAGATTTGTAGATGCAGTGAAAGTGGATCTAAAGTTAGAAGAAGAGAAAAATTCAATATTATACTCAAGAACATGATGACAGGAGGAAACGTTCTTGAGTAAATGGTCACATCAATACAATATGAAAGCTTTTTTTAAGGGTCAGCGATTGCACTGTATTGAACCAGCTCCCTTTTGAGTGTTTTTATTTTTATTTTTTTTAAAGTATTCTTATTTGTGTTGTGACACAGGCACGCACTTTTCTCCCATTCATGTGATCCACAAACACTCCAATCTTTTCCGTTTATAGCTTTGGAACACACCGGGGTTTGAATATGGGATTATTCATGACGGAAAGTGCTTTTTTTGCATACAGTTGCTTTGCCTCACTCCAAGAAGTTTGATGTTTTTGAATTGTAGGATTATGCTGTCACATTTGCACCATCCTTTCCCTTTGAAGATTTAGATTTTATTACACCCGGCAGCGTGCCTTCACTTTCATTTTATCCCCAAAAATCTGCAGCAAAAACTAATTTAGAATTGAAAAAAGTAACAACTTTGTGACAGTATACTGTTCATTTCCGACCTATGCCAGGTTCTGCTCAAAAGCAGCACCCTGCCTCATATGCATACATACACATACGCTATATAAGGTGCATAATAGAAACTCCTGTCCTTATTGTATTTTTATATTGGATATAAGCAGTGTAGTGCAGTGAATGAGGACAGCGGAACCAGAAAGGACAAAGCCGACGACATGGTGTATTGTTGGTAAATCGATATGAGCAGATATAGGACACGGACCACATCTGTCTTCATTATGAGCAACAGGAAAGGGCGACTTTATGAAGACATCACATGGATGAACACTGCTTTTCCTACATATTCCTCACATTCTGACATTGCCCTGCTAGTATGTCTATGTATATATTGATCAAATAGAATATAGATCGTTGCAGTAGGTACAGGAATGGCTAGGGTGATTTGATAACTAATTGGTAACATGTGCTCCAGATAATGCTTTGCACCATTGTGGGGGTGGGGAATGTTAAAATAAAAGAGCAAACCATTAAGAATAGGAATTTTTTTCACACCTTTTTCACAACGTAACTATTAACTGTGATTATTATTCAAACACGTGTGTATTACAGTACAGTACACTACTTGCAGGACCTTTTAGTGTGCCTGTTTATAAACCGCACCAGCAGAATTTGAAAAGAAAGGACATTTGGTAATAGAGCTAGGCAAATCAGGGCTGACTACATTATGCTTGCGATTCTGAACAGAATGTGAGTCTGAAACTGATCTGAGTCTAAAACTTTGATAGTCCCACAACCTACCAGATCAAAGTGATTAACACACGGTTTGAAATCGCAGCAATCACACTTCAACAGTTGTGAGTTCAGAAGGCCTCACCACACACTTTATGCACTTTTCTATACAAAAGCGCATTAAGTGTGTGGTGAGGGTTATTACAGTCTTTAAATATGGAACTGCTACTTCAAGAATTTTTGCGTATAGCAGGAAAAACAACCGGAACAAACTTACCGCTGGAAAATGATGAAGCCGGGAATAAAGTTTGGCTGCATGTCTCTCTGAGCAGAGGAGACCTGCGTATTGCGGCTGTGTTTACTCCTGCAGAGACTCGACTGCTGCTGTCCCGCTGCGGTCTATGGAGAAGTGTGAGGACAGTACGGGCCAGAGAACTATAAAGCTGTGGTATCCACATGTATGTGTTTGTCCTCATAGTCTCTGTGGCTGCTGCGGTCAGACGCGAGACGTTATGAAAGAAAAAAAGATTTCCAGAATTGTGCGTTGCACAGCTCAGTCAAAAATGAGGAATTGTGCATAACCCCTGTCATTTATTTTCTTTCAACATGGTTTAGGATTTAAACATCTCAAGTTCAATTATTATATATCAATTTCAGTCTAAAAATCAAAGGGGTTGTTATTTAGTCTTATTTTATTGTCACTATTGCTAATTCCGGTTAAACATGGGGTAAACTGGTTAATCCTGGTTAAGGTTCAGTCCTAGTTGAGTCCTGGCTCAGTCAGAAGTGCATCATTCTTGCCACTGTTCCTCACACGTATTTCTGCTCGTTGACACATGTCTGTCTCTGTCTCAAACAGAACTCTTGAGAGGCTCATATCTCTCTGATTATTGACTCTTTTTGGATGCCTTAAAAATCAAATCAGAGCTTTTTTTTTACATTTGAACGCGCTGGAAGTCCTAAGAAGCTCTGAAACAGTTATTGTTTTGTGCTTTACATATGTTATATTTCTTGCTTTTTCCTATCTGAGTTGTTGCTGCAGTACAGTGTTCATGGTTTTGCACTGATTCAGACCAGCGCGGAGAGGACCAAGTGGATCAGGCAAAAATCGACTGGAGGAATTCTAACAAAGCATTTAGCATCAGTGTTAATTTTGTTTAGAAATTCTAACTTTACATTATTTAATATAATTACGCCCAGGTTTTTAATTTGTGATGATGCATTAAAAGAGTGCGATTGGAGTTTTGTAACAGTTTCTCTCCCTGGGCCTCAGGACCGATGACTAAAACATCCGTTTTGTCCTGGTTAAACTGGAGAAAGTTTTCTACCATCCAGGATTTCAGGTCTAAAATGCAGTTAAAAGGAGCATCCATTGGCCTGGTGTCATCAGGAGAAATGGATATGTACAGCTGTGTGTCATCTGCATAACTGTGGAAGTTAATTCCATGTCTCCTGATGACACCGCCAAGAGGGAGCATGTACAGGTTAAAAAGGACTGGACCTAAAATGGAACCCTGGGGCACACCACGTGTGATTTTATGGACCTGAGAGGAGCAGGTATCCAAACTTACCATGAAAGATCTGTCTGTTAACTAAGAAATGAACCATTTGCGGACAGCACCAGAGAGGCGAAGGTGTTTCAGGCGCGATAAAATAATTGTATGGTCTACTGCAGCCATTCCCAAACTCAGTAACACCGAGGCCCCCTTAAAAATCTGACGGGTCTGCGTGGCCCCCCAAAATAATAACCAAGAAGACAACATTAAGAATAGGCTCTTCTGGTTATTTTATTTTGGGGAAATAGCCTCTGCTACAAACATTGTAATACAAAAATGATTACAGTGGATTATTCAAGTCAAATAATGAACACAAATATTTTAATATTACAAACAAAACATTATAAATTTAACATAAAATAATTATATTATTTTTCTTTTTTTTTATGACCTCCCGCGGCCCCCCTGCAGTACCCTCGCGGCCCACCAGGGGGCCGCGGACCCCACTTTGGGAGACACTGGTCTACTGTATCAAAAGCAGCGCTTAGATCCAGTAGAACCAACACAGTCACCTTTTTAGAATCATAATTTAATCTAAAATCTTTAAATGAGCAGTCTCTGTGCTGTGGTTCACCCTAAAACCTGATTGAATTTTTTCAATAAAGTTTCGGTTGTTTAAAAAGGTATTGAGCTGAATAAAAACTTGGCTTAAAAATGGTAAGTTGGATACCGGTCTGTAGTTGTTAAAATCTTTAAAATCTAAATTGCTCTTCTTCAGAAGGGGTCTAACCACAGCCGCTTTGAAGGCTGCAGGACAGACCCCAGTCTGAAGAGAGCAATTTATCATGTTTAAAAGCTCCTCTCTAAAAGATTCATAAAATGATTTAAAAGGAGTGGGGACTGGATCTAAAAGACATGTGGTTGGGGGAGCAGAGAATGAGAGAGGGCAGGGGGAAACAGAGATGAGGTTGGTGAAGGTCGGTTTCCTGGGTATGGACGGTCTGTAGGGGCGGGGTCTGGACAAAACTGTAATTTCGTGCTGGGGAGGAGAAAA